GATATTAGTATTTGGCACTCTCGTCTCGAACCGAGAAAAGTGATTCTTAGAAACATTGTCGTGAAATCCGTTTTGTTAGATCGTATTAAGGAGGCACAAGAGAAGGATTTTGAAATACAAAAATGGTTGGAGAAAGTTGATAAGGGGAAAAAGTCGAATTTTAATCTGAAAATAAATGGTGTACTAAGGTTTCGACATCGCATAGTGGTGCCAAAGGATGAAGAGCTAAAAACGAAAATCTGAGAAGAAACGCACCGATCTAAGTATACGATACACCCTGGAGGGAATAAAATATACCAAAACTTGAAGAGCTTGTACTGGTGGGAGAATATGAAGAAGAAAATTGCTTAGTTTGTCCAGACTTGTTTGATTTGCCAGCAGGTTAAAGTCGAGCATCAGAAACCGTCTGGTCTATTACAACCTTTAGAGATTTCCGAGTGAAAATGGAAAAATATCACCATGGATTTTGTATCTGGATTACCAAGGATACAAAGAGGTCGCGACATTGTTTGGGTGATAGTAGATAGTTTGACTAAATCTGCTCATTTTCTGCCGATTAGTATGAAGTACCCATTGGAGAAGTTAGCAAAACTATATTTAGATGAGATTATAAAACTACATGGGATACCTATAAGTATTGTATCCGACCGAGACTCTCGGCTTGTTTCTCGGTTCTGGCAGAAGATGCAAGAAATGCTAAGAACTAAATTGAGTTTTAGCACTACATACCTCTCCCAAACTGACGGACAGTCAGAAAGGACAATTCAAACCCTTGAGGACATATTGAGAACCTATATTTTGGATTTTGGAGAGAGTTGGAGTAAGTATTTGACATTGGTGGAGTTTGCATATAATAATAGCTTCCATTCATCCATTCAAATGGCTCCGTATGAAGCACTTTATGCTCGGAAGTGTAGATCTCTAATATGTTGGGACGAAATAGGTGAAACAAAGATTTTAAACCCAAGTGCAGTACCATGGATTGAAGAGGCATATGAAAAGGTAAAGTTAATACGCCAAAAGATTCAGACAGCCTAAAGCCGTCAAAAGAGTTATGCAGATAATCGAAAGAAGGATTTGGAATTTACGGTTGGAGATCAAGTTTTCCTTAAAATCACTCCTCTAAAAGCAAGTTTGATGGCAGGAAAATGAAAGAAGTTGCAACCTAGATTTGTAAGACCTTATAAAATTCTTCAACGTGTGGAAAACGAGTTATAAGTTAGAACTGCCACCAAATTTGTCTCGAATTCATAATATATTCCATGTGTCTATGCTCAAGAAATATCATCCAGATCCCTCCCATGTACTGCAACCAGAAATATTAAGATCGACGAGGCATTGACTTATGAGGAAAAACCAGTGAAGCTTCTGGATCGTAAAGTGAAGGAATTAAGGAATAAGCAAATCCCTCTGGTAAAAATTTTATGGAGGAACCACGGAGTAGAGGAAGTAACTTGGGAAGTAGAGGAGGAGATTCAAAAGAAATATCCAGACCTATTTCCAGATCAATGTATGAATTTCGTAGAGGAAGTAACTTGGGAAGTAGAGGAGGAGATTCAAAAGAAATATCCAGACCTATTTCCAGATCAATGTATGAATTTCGTAGACGAAATTCTTTTAAGGGGGAGAGAATGTAAGGACTTATATTTTTATTTCTAATTTAGTCATTTTTATAATTATTTTCCCTATTATTATTTAATTATTCTAGTATTGCTTGAATTCTCCTTAAATTTCACTTTATCGCGTTCGTGTCGAAAGTTTCTCGTAAGTCATGTCGGTACAATTAATTGGAAATTTGAAAATTTAGTATTAAAATAGTAAGTATAAGTAATTAAAGTGTTAGAGGAATTACCTTGGAGGTTTAGTGTATAAGTGTATTAAACAAGAGAGAAAGTGGTAGTACGAATCATTATTCCGCACTATTAAGAGTTGACTTTCTTGTAACTTTAAGTTAGATTCCTCAACACATTTTTTTCACAAAATTTAAAACCAAGAAACCCCCTCTCTCTCTCTCTCCATTTTTGGCCAAAACCCTAAGGAAGAAAAGGGAAGAAAGAAACTCCATTCTTTGGCTCCAAGTTTGCTCACTTTTCTTCATCCAACTCACAAACCACTTGGATTTCACTCTAACTTAGAGAAAGAAGCCATCTTGTGGAGTATTTTGGTGATATTTTGATGAAAAATCTGGTCTTTATCTAGGGTTTAAAGGGTAATCACTTCATCTCTTTAATCGTTCCATTTATACAAAGATTGGTAGTTAGTTTTCATGGGTTTGAAACCCTAATGAAATTTATAGGCTAGCGAACTTGAGAAAACATTTATCTTGCTTTAAATCCTAAGCTAGATGTCTTGAGGAAGCCTTTAGGTAGCTGATTTGAGACTATATTGCTTGATTGTTGTTGTTTATGTGATGAATGAGATGATTTTGGTTTGAAAATATGAGAGAAAGTTGGAAGAAACCGTGAGAGTGAGCTGGCCGAATTTCTATTCTGGTTGTCCTACTTTTAATTCAAATATTTTTTGCTTATTTGGCTGTTAAATTGATGGATATATGTGGTACTACGTGTGTAGAAAGTGTCTTTCAAAAATCAAGTCGATTGGTTGTATAAAACTTGAGTTTTGGAAAAGTTTGAAATTTGGAAAATGCTTACTAGGGTAGCTGGACAGGGGTTCTTTGCTTGAACATGACGCTTTGTACAAAAGTCAAAATTTAGTGCCGTTTGTGGCATTCAAAACTAGATATTCGGAGCTTTCAAATGGTTAAAAATCCCTTACTAGTTTGTTTTGAGTAAACCATAGCGAATCGACAAAGAGGACTGACCTGTTTGGTCTGTCTATTCGAGAGAAACTGGGAAGCTGCATCTTGTAGTTCGATTTTGTCCCACTTGTGAAAAGATTTTGGAAATGATGTCTTCTGATGAAATGTAGCATTTTGAACCTAGTTTCTAACACCATAATCTATTATCAATTTGGACTTGTGTAGAGTTAGATATGATCTGATTTCAAAACTGTGTTTAAGCTGGAAACTGGAAAAACTTCTGAACATGTTGCTAAAACCAGTCAACTTTCAACTGTTATATTTTGTTGTTCAAAACTTTGAATTTAGTTCCGCTTGTTGTGTTTGAAACTTGATTTGGAACTCTTGTTGTGTTATAAATTTCAAAGTCTGATTCACTTTCTGTGAATTTTACCGCATTTCCAAACATTGCAAAAAAACCATGACTGGTTCTGTCCTGTCTTCTGGAAACTGTAACTTTGAGCTGAAATTCGAATGGTTTCTGGTTAGAAGCTTAGAAAAGTATCTTCAGGTAAGTTTTAGTACTTTTCATATAGTTTCCAACGGTATTTTCCATTTTTGGACATACCAAACTCAAGATCTAATTTTCCAAGTTTTGTAACGCAAAGTTGAAAATTTCTGATTCTTTAGGAAGTGAACTTTTGAGAACTTTTCACTTTCTTTCAATATTGATAGACCATTTTAAACCCGATTTTATGGAGGATACAAGTTTTCCTTGTGACTTTAAATCCTTACTTTTGAATCTTGAATTTCAATAGAGTAAAGCCCTCTTGTGGCATTGTTCTACGTTTAAAAGAATGCACTTTCTTCCTTGAATGATAAGTGGTCGTGAGTTTGCGTGAGTGATGTATGGTCACTATTTCTTCAGGTGCTCAAGCAAGTCTTCAAGAGAATCTCGGAGGGGACAACTAACACTTTACTCGTTCAATTACTTTTGAATTGGTGAGTGCCAAGTGTATGAATTGTTATATTTACTTGATTAATCTTACTTGTGTACGTGAACATAACTTGATGAGGCGAGTGTGTACTTTGTCGTACTCGCTCTCCTTTATTTGACTTATTACTTAACTTACTTGAACTTGGTTTGTATTAAATTTGAACTTGAATGTCGATTGGAGTGAATCTCGTTGACTATTATACGTGTACTCGTGGGGGACGCCCAAATCTCATTGGCTAATCTTGCGACTCGAGCTGGCATGGGCTTGGTCAAGAAGTTTGACGAACCATGAGAATATTACAAAAATAAAACTTGATCTTTTGAGATCTTGTTCGGTATACTCGTGTAGTATCACTCTTTTCGTGCGTGTTTAGTTACGGATCCGAGAGGGTGAAATAATGGATGGGGGAAGTAAGTAGAGTTTCTACGGATTTAATACCTACTCGGTTGACGGAGTATCATCACGTGGAGGTATTGGATCGAGTCTTGACAAAGTAAGTGGAATTTAGCTCCTCAGAGCTCCCGTATCTTTATTAATCGTGTTTTATTATTAATTGTGAATTACTTGAACTTTCTATCTTTAATTCTTGTACAAATGTTATTGTTACTTGAACTATGTGTTTGCATGTTTTTTTTTCTTGGCCTCACTGAACGTTCGCTCTTCCCATTAGTTTGTTTTCCTTAACAGAAGCTCGAAATGGAAAGATTTTGGAGAAGCCGACCTGATTACTTTTGTTTAGAATTTTTGAATGTAATTTATTAGTCAACTTCTAGTGGTTGTATTTTTGGAAAAATTTGATGTACTTTTGGTAACTTATGATGTAAGATTTGAATGTTTTATTAAGGAAGCGACTTTTCTTTACTTCGATCTTTATTATTTGGTTATTTATCCTTAAATTTGAATTAGACTTGTATTGAGTCCTGGTGAGAGTTAGACAGGCATTTCGATACCCTTGGGTTCACCCTAGGGAGAAGTAGGGGCGTCTCAAAATGAGGCACAGAGGGGCAGTGCCTCGGTACCTTGTATCCCATGACACGTGTCTGGGTCACAAGAGCATATAAGGCCTGGGAAAGAACTTCTGAATCAATAATAAACAGTGCAGGCAATAACAGATCCCCTTGACGCAACCCTCAAGACGATTTGAAAAAGCCATAAGGCACCCCATTCACAAGCACAGAGAACCAAACATTGGAGATCAACCTCCATACCATGTCAATAAACCTTTCGCCAAATCCAAACTGTCGCAGAATTGCAGTAAGGAATGGCTAGGAAACCCTATCATACGCCTTAGTCATGTCTAACTTAAGAGCCAGATTCCCTCCTCTACACTTCCTTCCCATCTCCGACATCAGCTCCTGAGCCAACAAATAATTATCCACAATCGACCGTCCTTTAACAAAGCCACTCTGCTGAAGAGAAATGATTCGAGGCAACACACCAGACAACCTCCCCACCAAAATTCGAGAAAGGACTTTATTCAAAAAGTTACTCATACTAATAGGTCGAAATTGAGTAAAATCCTTATGATTCATGACCTTGGGTAAAAGAACAATAGACGTAGCCGTAATGAACCGAGGTAGTTCAGCACCACAGAAGAAACTCAAAATTGCCCTGTAGACATCGTGAGCCACTACCTCTCAAGCCGTTGTAAAAAATTTCCCTGTAAAGCCGTTTGGCCCAGCGGCACTATCTCCATCCATATCAAAGATCACCGCCTTCACCTCCTCCAAGGAGGGGACCTCCTCCAATCTCATGTTATAGATATCGTCCCCGAGGTTAGAGATAACATGCAGAAGCTAAAATTCGGACACAGGGTCAGCCAAGAACAAATTACTAAAATACCTTACAGCTTCCCTCCCGATCCCTTCATCGTCCATCACCCAATCCCGAATCTTGTGAATTCTGGACTGAAAACGGCGTTGCTTGACTACCAAATGAAAGTAGCTTGAATTACGATCACCGTGTTGCAGCCACTTAACCCTGGCTTTCTGACTCCAAAATTGCTCTTCAACTGCTAGCAGCCTCTTCAAGTTAGCCTGAGCCCGCTGGAGCTCCAACTGGGTCTCAACGGATAAATCAGCCCGTGCACGCAACTCTGCCGCCGCCACCACCTCTTCCCCCTTCTTAACATTCTCAAACACATCCCCAAATACCTGCTTGTTCCAGATATGAAGAGCCGGGGAGATATTTCTCAACTTTCTCCATACCACAGAAAATGGGGACCCAGACACTTCCAATTGCCAAGCTGTCCTGACCACGTCCAAATCGAAATGATTGACTCCTAACAGCAACTCTAGGTGCGAACGAGATGAGAAGCTGAGCATGGTCAGATAGAGTGCGCACTAAATGAGACACAGAGACTGACAAGGAGAAATTCAGGCACTCCATCTTAAGTAACACTATCCAACCGTTTCCAGATGTGCACCCTCCCGATTCTGTTATTACACCAAGTGAAACTACTGCTAGAGAAACCGACATCGAACACTCCCCATTACTCATAAAACAGGAAAGTTCAAGTGTGAGACCCCGGTCAGTTCTTAAGTTTGATATCAGGTGATATTCATTATTTGTGCGGTAAAATTTGGGGTTTTAGGGTTAATTAGAAAACCCTGAGTTGGGGTTAGGATTGAAACCCTAGTTTTTGTATTAATCATAAGTTCGAATGGTGGTTAAAGTTAGTTTTGCTAGTGTGTGTGTTTTCGTGCGGGTAAGTATAGGATTTGATCCATTTTATATTGGTTAAGTACGTTTAAAAGGTAGACAACCTCAGACTAGTAAACCCTCTAGTATTCCAATAGATTAGAAAGCTTAAGTTGGGTTCCAATAGATTAGCAAGTTGGGTTAAAACCCTAATTTTGCCAATGTTATAAAGGTTGTTGTTTAATTGTTTTTATTATGGAGAAAGTATGATTAAGTGTAGATGATTAAGTTAGTGGGGTGATTAGTAGAGAAATTAAGTAAGATTAATTAGTTTGGATTAGATTAAGTTAATTATCTATGGACTAAATTGCAAAGAATTAAATGATTTGGGGCAAGAGTGTAAGAATGACAAAGTGAAGTATGTAATTGTGGAGTAAATTGGTAGGATGGTGAAGTTAATTGGGCTATAGTGTGATTTTTGGTTAACCACAAGTTCTTAGACTTCCTAAGAGTTCCATGAGGTTCCTAAGCTTAATTTTGATTGGCTGATAAAAAAAGTGGTTGGACTTTGACCAAGTGACTTGATATTAATCTAATTTAGCAAGACAAAGGCCAAAAACAACAAGGAGAATTTCGGCCAGCTCTAGGGAGAAAAACCAAGAGAAAATAAGAGAAAGAACAAGAAAAAATCTGGTTGTGTGCAACTAATCCAACAAGCTTGGGAGTTAGAGCAAAAGAAAGCTAAGGAACTTGATTCTTGAAGTACAACCTTGTGAACCAACCTTTGGAAGGTAAAACAGCCTTGAACTCTTGTAAAAGTTTGTAGTAATTGAGTAGAAATGATGATTTTTATGTTGTAAACTACTAATAAGGGTTAATGATGGTTTATATGTCACTTTTGTGGGTTTGTATGGAAGATTTGGTGGTTGCTATGGTGGTTTGAGAAAATTCCAGCAAGTGATACAAATTTCCAGTTTTGATGCTTTAAATTTCTGTTATGATGGATTGTATGTGGTTATCTTGGTTGGATTGAGCTCAAAATGTAAAGATTGTAGCTCAAAATTGTTGGTTTATGGTGAGTAGAAAACCGGCCAGCAAAGGGGTTGAAAAGCTAGGGTATGACCAATGCAAATTAGTGTTGATGATGTGTTATGGATTAAGGGGATGGTGTATGATTCCTTTGATGTGGTTGCATGACTTAAATTTGTATAGATTAGGATCATGAAACCCTAGGCTTCCTTAGGTTAGTTTAGCTTGGCTAATGTTTAGTTAGTTAGGGTTTGGTTAGTAGGTTGTTAGATTAAGGTTAGTGATGCAAATAAAGTTAGGTTAGGGATTATGGTTAGTTTTTGGCAATTTTGTAGTGACTTAGAGGGAAAGTTTCAGACCGTTTGTAGGCCATTTAGAAGTTATTATATGTGTGTTTATTTGGTATGAAAGTGGTAGGAAGACCTGCATGGAAACCTTGGAAACGGACCATGCGTTTGTGACGTTCGAAACCGGCAAACCTGGAAACAGGGCAGTCCACAAATCCGAAATTGGGTTCTATTTTTCTTTATGCTGTGTGCAGATTCAGAGGTTTCTCAAAACATGAAAGTTGTAGCTTCTTAAGTCCTTAATTTTTCTACAAAATTTTAGGTCAAACGGATCAGTGTAGCCCGAGTTATAGACAAAACACTTGCACCTGTTTTGTACACTGGATTGTGTTATGTTTTTTAATTTTGTTTCTGACCATGCTCTGTCCGTCTTGATAACGTGTGAACTGGCTGTTGATCCCTTCATAAGAAATGTAGATCTTGGTCTTAGCTTCGAAAGGGTATAAAGAGCATCCAAATTCGAGTTCCATAGCTTCAGTTATGACTAAAACAAGATCGGTTGTCAGAACTGCCTTCGAATTTGGACAGTTCTGATAGGAACTTTGAACCCATTTTTCCCTATGCTCCGTACTGATTCAGTTTTTTGTCAAAATACAAAAGTTTTAGCATTATGATATAGATTTCTAACACCTTTGGAATTTCTTGATTTGGATTTGTGAGCTGTGAGTTATGGTCCAGTAAACAGACCCTGTCCGTCACCCTAAAATGCAAACTTCTGGTACTATTTTCCATAATTTCGACCTGCTTCCATTCAGATCTAGATTAAGGCATCTTTATGAAAGTTGTAACCCTTCTTCTTAGCTTCACAACAGTACCTCATGCATTTCGATCCAATAACCGTAGCCTGAAATTTGATCAAAACGATTCTAGGTGCCAAATCTGCCATTTCCGTTGCCGGCCGTTTACATTTTCGTTTGCCGTTTCCGTACTTGCATGGCCAATTTTGCCGTTTTGCTTGTTTTAGGCATGCTAGTAGCCGTTTGTGATATAATGTGATGCAATCTTCTATTTCAGACGGTGGTGAGCTAGGCGGAGCCAGTGGGGCCTACTACTAGCTATCCTTCGCGACGCAATTTTCATACTTTTGCTATCTTGGTTCTTTGAGTAAGTATTCGGGCTGTTTTGTATATAACTTGCTTATGTGTTTAAGGTGAATGAAAGGGGTATCTAGGCGAGGGTGTACTTCATCGCACTCGACCTAAACCCTAATTTACATGCATATTTATACATGACATGTCTAAATGAATTATTTTGGGTTTGAGCGCGCTTGTAGCTCGGGGTGACGTTTGTGAGTTGGGGTCGATCTTCTGACTTAGATGGACTATTCGAGCCAGCCGAGACTTGGTCGAAGCCAGTCCAACCTAGTTTGAGGTCACCAAGTTTGTAGGTTCAAGTTGTGAACCAAGTTTGTGAACCGAGCTTGCGAAGCAAGTTCAATTTTGTTTCGTTCGCTCGAGTAAGTTTGTGAGATGACTGGCCAGTGAGGGTGATAAGGTGTTAGGTGGGAGTACAAGTGGAGTTCTACGGATCTTATTTGTGGTCGACAGAGTGTCGGCAAGAGGTCACGCATGGCAAACGACTTGGCTTTGGAGCCAACCTGTATCCTACCATTGTGATGTTACACTTCTGTACTCATGCGAAATATTTGGATTTAAATGTTTATTCGAATGTGCAATTTACAATTTTACCCCTGATTACTTACTAAGCGCATAGCTTACCCTGTTTCCTTTGTTTTCCTTAGCAGGGAACGACACGGGGAACTCCTTGGCACATTCACTAGTACAGTTAGGTTTGCTTGTAATAGTTGGACAATTGAGATGGTTGTTTTTGTTTTGGTGGTTTGTATAAGGACCCTCCTTAGGGTCTACTTTCTGCTGGTTGTTATCATAATATAATATAGTGGTTTGACTAGCTGCTTTTGGGGATGTAAATAGAACTCTTTTGGAGTTGGCTATATTGTGTGTAGACACCAAATTTTAAATAATTTGTATGTTGCATCTAATTCATGATTTTGTTTTAGATTGTCTGCATTTTAGTTGTTATTTATTTTTATTCATTTTACCTTTTTATTTGCTAATTATTTTTAGTTTTATTGGTCATATTAATTTTGTTCATATTTTAGCTTTTAGTTTTAATTTTAAGTTTTAACGTAAAATTTGTGAGAAAAAAAAAGAAGAAGAAAAAAAAAGGGAAATGATTCACAAAATACGTTCATTCCTCTTAAATTCAATCTTTTGGCATTTTGTTTATTTTCGTTATTTTATTTTTGAAAAGAGAAAAAAAAAAAGCAAGCAGAAAAATGAAAAATGAAAAAGGGAAAAATGGAAAGTTGCATTTTTGTTGTTTCTAGTTTATTTTTATCTAATGTTAATTAAGTTGTTTTCATTATTAATTATTATTGTTTTATTATTATCATTTTTGTTGTTTAATTAATTAATTAGTTAAAAAAAATTAAAAATTTAAAAATTATCGCAGCATGCACGCTGCAATTTTTGCAGCGTGCAAAGGACGATCAGAGATACCCATTGGATGGCTGGATATGAAGGCAAGGGTTAAGCCTTCATCCTCACCATTGGGGTGAGGGTTTAGGAGATTGGGAAGTGGATATAAAAGGTAAGAGAAGGCTCAGCCGTGGGGGGGTTTTTTGGCAAAAGGGATAGAACAGCAAAAGAAAGACAGAACGGCTGGGAGTTTTGAGGAAAACAAAAAAGGGGAGAGACGGGAACGAGGAGAAATCAGAAACAAGCAAAAGAAAGGGGAGGAAAACAGGCTGAGAAATCAGAGGGGCTGACGGGCAGCTGATTAGGAAGAAGGGAGAGAGCTTTGGAGAGGAAAAGCAGAGGAAGGAAAGAACGAGAAGGAGAGGGAGTGACAGGAGAGCTGAGGCTAGTGACGATCGAAAGTAAAAAGGGAAGGCTACGGTTTTCTGGCAGCAGCGGGAAAGAGGAGAAACCGCTGGAAAGGAATCAAAGCAAAAAGGGAAGGAAGCCAACCATCTGCTTTCGCTCAACCGAACCCAATCCAGAAAATTTCCTGAGGTATCTCTTGAACTAATCTCTTAGCTTTTCCGTTTTCCTCCATGGCTGAGCTGGGTTCTTGCATCCTTGGTTTTCTTGTTTGGGCCGCTGCTGATGCTGGTAGTTGTTCGCTAGTTTAGGTGCTTTGTTCATCTCTGTTGCTTTAATTTCGTAATAAAAATGTAATCTTTGATTTGGTTAAGATGTCAAGGCTTTGGGATATGGTTGGAGTCTCATGTTTCCGTGGGTTTCTGGTGCTTAAATCCAAAGGTTTTATGTGTGGGTTGAAAA